TCCCCCATTTTGTTTATCAGACATGCTTGAAAATTCGTGAAAAACAACCGATTTTCAAAATCATTGGTGGCACCGTCGGATTACAGAAGGAACAATGTTTTAGATTTTCGATCTAAAAATTGTTTGGAATTCAACCAGTGTATGGCCTATCCTCCTTTTTTTTACCAATCATTTTTTGTTTTTCATTTCCTGTACCTACGCCTAGGGGAGGGCGACATATTAGGGTGAGATCTGCGCCTATCTCATGGACGCAGGGACATACCACGGGTCTATGGGACCTGGCGGAGACCCCCAACAGCGCATCTGCGCATGCACGAACCTCCCGCACACCAGCAGCAAGTCGCTGCCAGTCTGGGACCTGACAGGGAGGGGTGGCCCCTCTGCACAGGCGCAGATTTTGTAGAATTTCACACATGCACAGACACACTATGGGGGGCGATTTACTAAACCTGGAGAGTTCCAAATTTGGTGCAGATCCCCAATCTCTCATTGGGGGGGGGGGGGGGGGGGATCTCCCTTCTCTTCCTGTCCTACAGCCCAAAAAAGGGAGGAAATCCCTGCAAATGAAGGAAATTTCTTGGGGCCCCCCAAGGTCACCGGACGTATTGTCCCCATTGGAAGATTTCCCCTCTATTACTTTTCTGAAGAGAACCCAAAATTTGGGATTTTAAGGGCTAGTTTACACTTACTTGAAAATCTGGCATTGGAGCGGCTCTGGGAAAGCACTCTGAAGGCCATTCAAAGCCCGTCACGAAATAAAATGGTTACCTTACAATCCTGTTCACACGTTGTGTTTTCTTTGCTGAGCTTCAAAAAAAGATCCCCGTGTCGCTTTCTTGGTGCTCCAAAGCCTCCATAGAAGTCTATGACAACGCTCGCTAGCAGCACCTGCAGCTTTTATTCAGCATTAGCTTCGCTTTGTTTTGGAGGTATTATCAGGTATGAGATATCCCAGGATGCACTGGGAAACCAACAAGCAAACTGGAAAGATGTCATTAGCAGTCAATTCCGGTGCATGTGTATAGATTCTGGGAGTGTCTGGTGCAGACGTCACATCTGTTGCGCAGCGAGGAGCAGCAGGAAGGTGAGCGGGGTCCAGACTGGAGAGGAGCAACTAGCAGATGGCAAATGTGATGTGCAAGATGGGAACGCTAGCAGAAGGTGAGCGGGGACTGACGAGAGAGGAGCAAACCAGAGGATCAGCAGAGCTGGGGGTTACTACTGAGCGGGGGATCAGCAGAGCTGGGGGTTACTACTGAGTGGGGGATCAGCAGAGCTGGAGGTTACCATTGAATGGGGGATCAACAGAGCTGAAGGTTACAACAGAGTAGGTGGATCAGCAAAGCTGGGGGTTACTACGCAGCGGAGGATCATCAGAGCTGGGGGTTACTCCACAGAGCTGTTACTAGAGCAGGGGATCCACAGAGCTGGGGGTTACTACTGAGCAGGGGATCAACAGAGCTGGGGGTTACTACTGAGCAGGGGATCAACAGAGCTGGGGGATACTACTGAGTGGGGGATCAGCAGAGCTGGGGGTTACTACTGAGCGCGGAACCAGCAGAGCTGGAGGTTACTACGGAGTGGGGGATCAGCAGAACTGGGGGTTACTACTGAGTGGGGGATCAGCAAAGCTAGAGGTTATTGAGTGGGGGATCAGCAGAGCTGTAGGTCACTACTGAGCTGGGGGTTACTACTGAGTGGGGGATCAACACAGCTGGGGGTTTACTACTGAGTGGGGGATTAGCAAAACTGGAGGTTACGGAGTGGAGGATCAGAAAAGCTGGAGGTTACAAAACTGGAGGTTTACTACTAAGTGGGGGATCCGGGAATACGGCAAAACTGGAGGTTACTACTGAGTGGGGGGATTAGCAGAGCTGGAGGATACTACTGAGTGCGGCATCGGCAAAGCTGGGGGTTATTAAAGGGGTGCTAGGTAAAGCTGGGGATCTGCTGAACGAGGGTACCAATGAGCTGGGGATCTGCTGAACGAGGGTACCAAAGAGCTGGGGCTGTGGCAGAACTATGTTTACTGGAACTCCAAGAATGAAAGTCTTGTATTAAAAAGAATGCAAGCCATCCTTTGAATGGAGGAGATGTCCAGGAGACTCCAGCTGTTCCCGAAGTTCAGCTTTGTGCAGGCACATACATGAAGACCATTAGATCACGTTACACCGTGTTCATGAATATTAATGGTTATATACGCTCTACCCAATTAATTCGCTTGACTACTAATCAAGATCAAGGTGAGGTGCAAGGAGGTGAGCGCCCACGTAACCTGAAGGAATATTCAAGCAGCTTTCAGTTAGGCATCAGCCGCGTTTGGCGTGCCCCAAACATGTCCTGACAGGTCCACCTTGTCCCCTAGGAAGACCTTTAGTCTACCTCGGGGGTGTCAAACTGGTGGCCCTCCAGGCAAGTCCCACCATGCCTCTACTTTTGAGAGTCATTCCTGTAACTGTCAGTCTTGCAATACCTCATGGGACTTGTAGTTTGGCAACAGCTTGAGTGCCATCAGTTTTACACCCATGGTCTACCTGGAAACCAACTTCCTCCTTTGCCTTGATCTTGGTTATTGGTGTGCAAATGGATAACTGACAATTGAGCGGTCATGCGACGCTGCACCCAAATTGAATTTACGTCCTTTATTTGACATCCCCAGTGACACCAATACAGTGATCAGTGCTAATAAAAAGGACTGACACTGTACTAATGGCACTGTGCTGGAAGGGGTTAACATCAGGGGCGATCAAAGGGTTAACTGTGTGCTTCGTTTTACTAGGGAGGCATGCTGCTTTGTATTGAGGAATACAAAGCAGCAGTGTGTGTGTGTGTGTGTGTAAATAATAGTGAAGGAAATGTTTGCCCACTCACAAAGAAATGATCGGTCTAACAATGGAATGTTCGCCCCTCACACAGAAATGATCGGTCTAACAATGGAATGTTCGGTGTAACGCTGAGAGACAGAATACAACAACAAATTCAGCAGAAATGCGTCTAACAAATGATGACTGATCTGCATGTTCATGAGGGAAAGAAGGATTTGATCCCCTATCATTCAGCAGGATTTCTGGCTCCCAGGTGTCTTTCATACAGGTAACAAGCTGAGATTAGAAGCAGTCTCTTAAAGGGAGTGCTGCTAATCTCACTGTGTTCCCTGTATAAAAGACACCTGTCCACAGGAGCCATCAAACCATCAGATTCCAAACTCTCCACCACGGCAAAGACCAAAGAGCTGTCCAAGGATGTCAGGGACAAGATGGTAGACCTACACAAGGCTGCACTGGGCTACCAAACTATGGCCAAGCAGCTTGGTGAGAAGGTGACAACAGTTGGTGCAATCATTCACAAATGGAAGAAACACAAAACAAGTGTCAGTCTCCCTAGGTCTGGTGCACCATGCAAGATCTCACCTCGTGGAGTGTCAATGATCATGAGAACAGTGAGGAATCATCCCAGAACTACACGTGAGGATCTTGTCAATGATCTCCAGACAGCTGGGACCACAGTCACCAAGAAAACAATTGGTAACACACTACGCCGACAAGGACTGAAATCCTGCAGTGCCCACAAGGCCCCTCTGCTCAAGAAAGCCCATGTCCAGGCCCGTCTGAAGTCTGCCACTGAACATCTGAATGATGCAGAGGAGGACTGGTGGGAAGTGTTGTGGTCAGATGAGACCAAAATCCAGCTCTTTGGCATCAACTCAACTCGCCGTGTTTGGAGGAGGAGGAGGAATGCTGCCTATGACCCAAAGAACACCATCCCAACTGTGACACATGGTGGTGGAAACATTCTGCTTTGGGGGGGGGGGGGTTTTTCTGCTAAGGGGACAGGACAACTGCACCGCATCAAAGGGACGATGGATGGGGCAATGTACCATCAAATCTTGGAAGAGAACCTTCTTCCCTCAGCCAGGGCATTGAAAATGGGTGGTGGATGGGTGTTCCAGCATGACAATGACCCAAAACACACGGCCAAGGCAACAAAGGAGCGGCTCAAGAAGAAGCACATTAAGGTCCTGGAGTGGCCTAGCCAGTCTCCAGACTTTCATCCGAATGAAAATCTGTGAAGGGAGCTGAAAGTTCGAGTTGCCAAACGTCAGCCACCAAACCTTAATGACTTGGAGAGGATCTGCCAAGAGGGGTGGGCCAAAATCCCTGCTGAGATGTGTGCGAACCTGGGGGCCAACTCCAGGAAACGTCTGACCTCTGTGATTGCCAACAAGGGATTGGCCACCAAGTACTAAGTCATGTTTTGTAAAGGGGATCAAATCCTTCTTTCCCTCATGAACATGCAGATCCGTCATCATTTGTTAGACGCATTTCTGCTGAATTTGTTGTTGTATTCTGTCTCTCAGTGTTACACCGAACATTCCATTGTTAGACCGATCATTTCTGTGTGAGGGGCGAACATTCCATTGTTAGACCGATCATTTCTGTGTGAGGGGCGAACATTCCATTGTTAGACCGATCATTTCTGTGTGAGGGGCGAATGTTCCATTGTTAGACCGATCATTTCTGTGTGAGGGGCGAACATTCAACATCAGCCGGGAGCAAATACACATTTCCTTCACTGTGTACACACACACACACACACACACACACACACACGATTTTGCGCAGCCCTGCCGCCGTCTCGCAGTATTTCTGCTATAGGGCGGTCGGGAAGACCGGAGCTCTGCCGTAAACGTATCTGGTGGATCAGACGAGGAGGACGAACGAAAAACAAAATCAGCATCGATACTTTTTATAATTTTGTAATAAAAACCTGAAATTCTTTTTACAGTCACGTTTGTATTGGAGAGACGTTTTGGTACCCCCAAGTCCCGCCGTTTTTCTTTCATACACCTTCGGATGGCGCCTCTAGAAAAGCAGCGCAATCCTCGCTCCGTATACGTTCAATCGGACATACGGCGAGCAAAAGTCATTTGAAAAAGGAAAAAAAAAAAAAAACCCAAAGTTTAGCGCCTGAAATGGAAGCCGTCCACACAGCCACGGCCGTCACCTTCTCATGAAGTTCTTCTCCAGCGCGGAGGCGGTGCGCTGAATCCCGTGAATGTTGCGTTTGACCCGGTCCTCCACCGAGGAGGAAGCGGCGCTCGCCAGCTTCATGTCGTGGATGAACTTGCCGTCCTTCCTTCCGTGATCACTCTTTTCGTCTCGCTCGTCCTCCTGCTTGTATCTGCGCACGGCGTTCTCTCTCTCCGACTCCCTGTGCTTGGCGTCCTGCATCATCTCCAACCTGCGCCGCTCCAGCTCCTCGGCGGACATCTTCCTGGTGTAGCCGGACGCCTTCTGTCTTCGGTACTTCTCTTCTTTCTTTGGGGAAGGACTTCTCCTGGACTTGGATTGATGACTTCGGTCCCGATCCCGACTTCTCGAGCGCTCCCTGCGCGGCGCCTCTTCCCTATAGCTTTTAGCACGCTCCGGAACCTGCAGCCCATATCCCGGAACCTTCTGGCGAGCTGCAGAGCGTGGTCTATGCTTGTGAGACCTGCGCTCCTCGCCGCTCTCCTCGTCGCTGCCGCTAGAGCTGGACCTCCTCTCCTTCTGCTTCTTCTTTTTCTTCTTCTTGCTCTTCTTCTCCAAGCTGCTCTGCAGCATTTCTCGAATCTTCTTCATTTTTACCGGATTATTCAGGACCTCCCTCTTCTTCTCATCCTCCCGTTTCCTGATCATGAAGAGCGGATCCTCACGGATCTTGTTGGACATGTCCAAGGCGGAAGTGGCCCCGGGGTTGCTGAATATGGATCCCGGGAGGAGCCCGGTCTCCTGGGACGGCCCCGATTCCGGGTCCTGCATTTTGTCCAGGATGAACTTGTCCACCGGCCGCCCCAGGAGGTACTCCTCTCGGTTCACCATTCCCGCCGGCCCTTGGTACATCCAGTCCAGCTTTTCTTCTTTTTTTTTCACGGCTCCGGTATCCTCTGCGTATTTCTGCATCTCCTCCCGGGCCCGCTCCTCCCGGAGCTCCCGCTGCAGCTCCTCGATCTTCTTCTGTTCCGCATCATGTCTCTGCTCAGCTTTCCACACCTTCTCCACATTGCGGAGCGTCTGGGGGTGCCAGCTCTTCTTCAGATTCAAGTCTCCGCCCCCCATGGCTTAAATCCGGAATTCTCTGCTCGATTCTCAAACCAAATCTTTCGCCCACGAAGTCTGTGATGTCATCAAACAGGGACAGGACTGGAAATGGAAAAAAAAAAAAATCTTTTAATTATGTGTCAAATCATAAAGTATAGTCCTCTGCCCCCCCTCCACCGCAGTGTCCTCTGCCCCCCCTCCACACCACCGCAGTGTCCTCTGCCCCCCTCCACCGCCACCGCCACACCACCGTAGTGTCCTCTGCCCCCCTCCACCGTAGTGTCCTCTGCCCCCCCCTCCACCACACCACCGTAGTGTCCTCTGCCCCCCTCCACCGTAGTGTCCTCTGCCCCCCCCTCCACCACACCACCGTAGTGTCCTCTGCCCCCCCCTCCACCGTAGTGTCCTCTGCCCCCCTCCACCGTAGTGTCCTCTGCCCCCCTCCACCATAGTGTCCTCTGCCCCCCCTCCACCGCCACACACCATAGTGTCTGTCCTCTGCCCCCCCTCCACCGCCACACACCACCGTAGTGTCCTCTGCCCCCCCTCCACCGCCACTCCACCGTAGTGTCCTCTGCCCCCCTCCACCGTAGTGTCCTCTGCCCCCCCCTCCACCGTAGTGTCCTCTGCCCCCCTCCACCGTAGTGTCCTCTGCCCCCCTCCACCGTAGTGTCCTCTGCCCCCCTCCACCGTAGTGTCCTCTGCCCCCCTCCACCGTAGTGTCCTCTGCCCCCCTCCACCGTAGTGTCCTCTGCCCCCCCTCCACACCACCGCAGTGTCCTCTGCCCCCCCTCCACCGCCACACCACCGTAGTGTCCTCTGCCCCCCTCCACCGTAGTGTCCTCTGCCCCCCCCCTCCACCACACCACCGTAGTGTCCTCTGCCCCCCTCCACCGCCCACACCACCGTAGTGTCCTCTGCCCCCCCTCCACCGCCACACCACCGTAGTGTCCTCTGCCCCCCCTCCACCGCCACACCACCGTAGTGTCCTCTGCCCCCCCTCCACCGCCACACCACCGTAGTGTCCTCTGCCCCCCTCCACCGTAGTGTCCTCTGCCCCCCCCTCCACCGTAGTGTCCTCTGCCCCCCCTCCACCGCCACACCACCGTAGTGTCCTCTGCCCCCCCTCCACCGCCACACCACCGTAGTGTCCTCTGCCCCCCCTCCACCGCCGCCACACCACCGTAGTGTCCTCTGCCCCCCCTCCACCGCCACACCACCGTAGTGTCCTCTGCCCCCCCTCCACCGCCACACCACCGTAGTGTCCTCTGCCCCCCCTCCACCGCCACACCACCATAGTGTCCTCTGCCCCCCCTCCACCGCCACACCACCATAGTGTCCTCTGCCCCCCCCCACCGCCACACCACCATAGTGTCCTCTGCCCCCCCTCCACCGCCACACCACCATAGTGTCCTCTGCCCCCCCTCCACCGCCACACCACCATAGTGTCCTCTGCCCCCCCTCCACCGCCACACCACCATAGTGTCCTCTGCCCCCCCTCCACCGCCACACCACCATAGTGTCCTCTGCCCCCCCTCCACCGCCACACCACCATAGTGTCCTCTGCCCCCCCTCCACCGTAGTGTCCTCTGCCCCCCTCCACCGTAGTGTCCTCTGCCCCCCTCCACCGTAGTGTCCTCTGCCCCCCTCCACCGTAGTGTCCTCTGCCCCCCTCCACCGTAGTGTCCTCTGCCCCCCTCCACCGTAGTGTCCTCTGCCCCCCTCCACCGTAGTGTCCTCTGCCCCCCTCCACCGTAGTGTCCTCTGCCCCCCCCCGTAGTGTCCTCTGCCCCCCTCCACCGTAGTGTCCTCTGCCCCCCTCCACACCACCGTAGTGTCCTCTGCCCCCCTCCACCGTAGTGTCCTCTGCCCCCCTCCACCGTAGTGTCCTCTGCCCCCCTCCCCCCGTAGTGTCCTCTGCCCCCCTCACCACCGTAGTGTCCTCTGCCCCCCCCCACCGCCACACCACCGTAGTGTCCTCTGCCCCCCTCCACCGCCACACCACCGTAGTGTCCTCTGCCCCCCCCTCCACACCACCGTAGTGTCCTCTGCCCCCCTCCACACCACCGTAGTGTCCTCTGCCCCCCTCCACACCACCGTAGTGTCCTCTGCCCCCCTCCACCGCCACACCACCGTAGTGTCCTCTGCCCCCCTCCACACCACCGTAGTGTCCTCTGCCCCCCTCCACCGCCACACCACCGTAGTGTCCTCTGCCCCCCTCCACCGCCACACCACCGTAGTGTCCTCTGCCCCCCCCCCACCGCCACACCACCGTAGTGTCCTCTGCCCCCCCCACACCGCCACACCACCGTAGTGTCCTCTGCCCCCCCCCTCCACCGCCACACCACCGTAGTGTCCTCTGCCCCCCCCTCCACCGCCACACCACCGTAGTGTCCTCTGCCCCCCCCTCCACCGCCACACCACCGTAGTGTCCTCTGCCCCCCCCCCTCCACACCACCGTAGTGTCCTCTGCCCCCCCCTCCACCGCCGTAGTGTCCTCTGCCCCCCCCTCCACCGCCACACCACCGTAGTGTCCTCTGCCCCCCCCTCCACCGCCACACCACCGTAGTGTCCTCTGCCCCCCCCTCCACCGCCGTAGTGTCCTCTGCCCCCCTCCACCGCCACACCACCGTAGTGTCCTCTGCCCCCCTCCACCGCCACACCACCGTAGTGTCCTCTGCCCCCCTCCACCGCCACACCACCGTAGTGTCCTCTGCCCCCCTCCACCGCCACACCACCGTAGTGTCCTCTGCCCCCCTCCACCGCCACACCACCGTAGTGTCCTCTGCCCCCCTCCACCGCCACACCACCGTAGTGTCCTCTGCCCCCCTCCACCGCCACACCACCGTAGTGTCCTCTGCCCCCCCCTCCACCGCCACACCACCGTAGTGTCCTCTGCCCCCCCCTCCACCGCCACACCACCGTAGTGTCCTCTGCCCCCCCCTCCACCGCCACCGTAGTGTCCTCTGCCCCCCCCTCCACCGCCACACCACCGTAGTAGTGTCCTCTGCCCCCCCCTCCACCGCCACACCACCGTAGTGTCCTCTGCCCCCCCCTCCACCACACCACCGTAGTGTCCTCTGCCCCCCCCCTCCACCACACCACCGTAGTGTCCTCTGCCCCCCCCTCCACCACACCACCGTAGTGTCCTCTGCCCCCCCCCTCCACCACACCACCGTAGTGTCCTCTGCCCCCCCTCCACCACACCACCGTAGTGTCCTCTGCCCCCGGTCACATCAACCTCTCCCCTTCCCCCCAAATCCTTCACAGCCGTGTCACTCTCTTCCCTTCCATGGTTACCCAGGACAGACTGCAGGAAGCACAGTAGCACTGGACGGAGGGTAAGAGCTTCCAGGGTTAATGGTTGCTAGGACCACCCTGCATCTTAGCAACCAATCACCTGCTAACCGACTAAAAAAAAAAAAAAAAAAAAAAAAAGGTAACTTGGGCAGTTCCTGCTCCTGCCTTCCATCCAGTGCTGCTGTGCTTCTAGCCCTCTGCTGGAAGAATGACAGAGGCTGGGGGAAAGAAGTGGCCCCTAAATGGCACGAACGCAGCGGTCCAGATGGGACAGTGACTCAGTCTGGAAGGGGATTGGGGGAGCGCCACCTGCTGGAGGAGTGGAGAGGTGGTTCAAGTTTCTCTTCTCCCCTCCCCCAGACAACACAAGCTATTACCCTGTGCAACGCAGGCACAGCCCAACAAGGGATGATTTTTTAGTTACCCAGAGTTGGGCTTTAAAGCCGACCACGGGACTAAAGGCACGCCACGTGGCGGCACAGCATCCAATCAGCACGCTAAAGGTTGTGCACAAATCTGCATGGTAGCGGGGCTCCGGAAATATAGGAAAATGGGCAGGATCGCCAAATTTTGTTCTCTTAGAAGAAGCCAAGAAGCAGTTCACAACTTTAATGTCAAAGAAAAGAAAAACGTCACTCCCCCAATATACTGCCCCCGCCCTGCCCTCTCCTGTGCCGCCATCTTTGAATATCTGGAGGGCTTCCTTGGTCTTTGAGATCTGAGGAACATTGGTGCCCTCTCCTGTGCCGCCATCTTTGAATATCTGGAGGGCGTCCTTGGTCTTTGAGACCTGAGGAACATTGGCGCCCTCTCCTGTGCCGCCATCTTTGAATATCTGGAGGGCTTCCTTGGTCTTTGAGATCTGAGGAACATTGGTGCCCTCTCCTGTGCCGCCATCCTTGAATATCTGGAGGGCTTCCTTGGTCTTTGAGACCTGAGGAACATTGGTGCCCTCTCCTGTGCCGCCATCTTTGAATATCTGGAGGGCGTCCTTGGTCTTTGAGACCTGAGGAACATTGGTGCCCTCTCCTGTGCCGCCATCTTTGAATATCTGGAGGGCTTCCTTGGTCTTTGAGACCTGAGGAACATTGGTGCCCTCTCCTGCGCCGCCATCTTTGAATATCTGGAGGGCTTCCTTGGTCTTTGAGATCTGAGGAACATTGTTGCCCTCTCCTGCGCCGCCATCCTTGAATATCTGGAGGGCTTCCTTGGTCTTTGAGACCTGAGGAACATTGGTGCCCTCTCCTGTGCCGCCATCTTTGAATATCTGGAGGGCGTCCTTGGTCTTTGAGACCTGAGGAACATTGGCGCCCTCTCCTGTGCCGCCATCTTTGAATATCTGGAGGGCTTCCTTGGTCTTTGAGATCTGAGGAACATTGGTGCCCTCTCCTGCGCCGCCATCTTTGAATATCTGGAGGGCGTCCTTGGTCTTTGAGACCTGAGGAACATTGGTGCCCTCTCCTGTGCCGCCATCTTTGAATATCTGGAGGGCGTCCTTGGTCTTTGAGACCTGAGGAACATTCGGTGCCCACTCCTGTGCAGCCATCTTTGAATATCTGGAGGGCTTCCTTGGTCTTTGAGACCTGAGGAACATTGGCGCCCTCTCCTGTGCCGCCATCTTTGAATATCTGGAGGGCGTCCTTGGTCTTTGAGACCTGAGGAACATTGGTGCCCTCTCCTGTGCCGCCATCTTTGAATATCTGGAGGGCGTCCTTGGT